TTTATAGAGTTTTTGCACAACCTGTATAAGAAAATCCTAAAGGTAGATTCCAAATGGACATACAAACCATAACACCTATCATAATGATAAACACAATATTAAAAAAATAGAAAAACATTTAAACAGAATCAAATCTCTACTGAAAATAATAACAGCAAAAGAAAATCTAATAATCTAATGGAGGCAAAAAGACTTTTTTTTACCAATCACATGGAAGTCCATAAGATCAGATGGACTTCTCTGAGGAAAAGGTTCCTTACCAATGACATTGCCACAGAAAAAAGTATTATCCTGAGGTACTGCTCTTTAATTCACAAAGCCTCAGCTGAAAGGTCTTTGAATATCTTTAACAATTCAGTAGTTTCATGCAGAAGTAGGTGGTCATTTGGAACCATTCTTCTTCCTGTTGCTTTTCTTTCTTTCTTTCCCACCACAAAAACAAATTCAGCAAGCACTGCAGAATGCAAACAATGGATGCAGGATATTTAACTCCAAGTTAAAATAATTACAGATGCTGCTTAAGCTTAAAGGTGCACGGGACTCCATACTAGAAAAAAGTAGTGATGCCATTAATATAGAGCAGAAGTCCATATTTTCAGAAGTGGAGGAGGGTGGAGTTGTACTCACTGACTTTAGGTTCATCCAGTTCTTCAAATGAATTAATGTTTTTTTTTAAAATTTCCAGAATGCCATTAGACTGTAGCAACTGTAATATTCCTGGAATGACATTTCTTTCTTCAATCCTTTGAATAATAGAATTAACCCAAAGAGAACTACATCCAGAAAAGGTGATACATTTGATCCACAGCTCCTCAAAGCAAATTTTCATCCAATATGGAAACAAGCGCTGGTTGAGTTGCTTTTGAGTTGTGAAGAATTGCCTCTAAAATGATCCACAGCATTCAATAAAAAAATCATTACAAGGATTGTATAATCCACATGTCAATAAAAAATTAAATTTTCTTTGAACCGAAAGCTTTCAATTTGCCAGTTCCTGGTTCTATTCCCAAACAAGAAAGTGTACATGCGATTTCCAACAACATCCAATAATTGAAATTTGTATTCCTTTTTATGGTTTCCTTATACTTCTGCAGGAAGGTAACAGTGCTCCTAGCAGTTCGAAAACATGCAAATGTAAGTAGATCAAAAGGTAACAGTGCTCCATGCAGTCATGCCAGCCACACGACCTTGGAGGTGTCTACGGGCAACTCCGGCTCTTTGGTTTAGAAATGGAGATGAGCACCAACCCCCAGAGTCAGACATGAGTAGACTTAATGTCAGGAAATACCTTTATCTTTATCTTATACTTCCATAAAATGTAATTAAAACCCATAAACCTTTCTTTTTAAAAAAAATTATGTAGCCTCAAGGCAGTACTAACACTTCCAACTCTCATGGATAAAGCTAACCAATACCCAAGGAAGGGAGCACAAGAGTCCCTAATTCATTTAATACTGTATATTAGTAATTATCAATTAATCATTTCATAATTCAGTACCAAGTCAGCACTTAATATTCCAGTTAAATATTTCTATCCAACTCTTTATAACCAGAATCAACCCGTTCTCTTCCACATGAAACTTGGCATGAAGATTATCAATCAACTTTAACATTACTGATCACACATATTATATCAGAATATTTCTAGAGTGAATATTTATCAAAAGCAATAAAAATATATAATATGAATACATTTTACAGGGTGCTTTCAAATAAGAGTTGAAATGCTTTTGAAAATAAAGTTTCCATACTAAGATATAACATAAATCACGTGCTTGGTCAACAAGCTTCACTCAAAACCATTTACAATCCTATGCACACCTATTTAGAAGCCCCACTAAGCTCTGTAGGATTTAAGTATGCTTAGGACTGCTCCTGAAGTTAACATTTCAAAGTCAAAATCCAAATTATAGCTAAATGGCATAATTTATAGCACTTTGTCTATATTTACAACTTTAAATACTTTCCCCAGCCAATGACTTTTTCTAATCAATCCAGCATAGTTAAGCCGCCACATACCAGTATAAGGAATGAATGCTAACAATGAGCACCATGCACCTTGATCACATCTAGCTAGATCAAAGACAACTTGGTCATCACCCTCAACAGGTAACTCAAAACCATAGAGATTGCCTTTTGGATGGCAGAGTTGTGAATCTTCAAATCTGAAACTTGCCCAATAGCATTCTAACTTATTTGGCTTAGGAACAGTATGAAATAATGAAGGCATAAGTACATCTATTGAACCTGGCCACAGAACTATTTCCTTACTATGAGGGCTCCAGCAAGATTTAGTTTATCTTATACACTGAAGGCAGCCAACTCTTCACAACCACTAACCATGACCCATCACCCTTATAATTGAAAACTGTTGCCCAAAACTTTACAGCAGCTAACTCGCTCAAAGCATTCATAGTACATGTTCTCTTCAGATGGATGAAAAAGGTATGTTCTCAAATTGTAAGAAGTTGTTCTAGTTGTACTGGCAATGTGCTAAAAGTACAATCTGACACGTTTATTCAAAAGGAAGGCCCATGGTGTTTAACAGAGATCACCCACACTGTGTTCAATATTATAGGCCAAGCTTTATAGGCATTGTACAAGATACTTCAATGGTTCTACGATTCCAGGTTCAGCAATCTAAGACAACACAGATGTACAGTTGACACCTATTGAAATGTGTACAGTATAACCTCCTTATCCATGGCTTCAACATCCATGGCTTCACTTACCCATGCCTCAAAACAAACAAAAAAAATCATCCCCCAGAAGTGTTTGTGGACCCCTCTAGATCAGTGGTTCTCAGTGGTTTGGCCTACAACTCCCAGAGATCCCAGCCAGTTTACCTACTGTTAGGATTTCTGGGAGTTGAAGGCCCAAAACATCTGAGGACCAACATGTTGAGAACCGGGTGGCTGTGGGTTTTCAGGGCTGTATGGCCATGTTTCAGAAGCTTTCTCTCCTGATGTCTATGGCAGGCATCCTCAGAGGTTGTGAGAACCTCAGAGGTTGAGAACCACTGCTCTAGATCCTTGAGTGCTGTTCTATGGAATTCTTCCAATGCAAGTATTATCAAAACATAGGATCAGTGGTTGGTCATGATTTTGAGTATCCATGTCGGTCTTGGAAGGCATCCCCTGTGGATACAGGGGTTGCACTGTACTTGCAGAAAGGTCAAGAAAACTATGGCTAAGCATGCTTCTCATGGCTCTTCCATCCCTCGGTGACATCCCCAAACCAGGAAGTTACATCCAAGAGGAATCCCAACGTGCTCCTGAAGGCATGAAGGATAGGAAACTTCCCACAGAAGACTGGAAATCAAAGAAAGAGAAGTCACCTCCTTCTCAACCAGAGAGAGAGAAGACCCCAACGCATGCCACTCAGTGGTTCAGCCATTTCTTAAGAGGGGGGGGGGAAGCATGGCCATGTTTCATAAGCTTTCTCTCCTGGCGTCTATGGCAGGCATCCTGAGTTTGTGAGAACCTCAGAGGTTAAGAACCACTGCTCTAGATCCTTGAGTGCTGTTCTATGGAATTCTACCAATGCAAGATTATCAAAACATAGGATCAGTGGTTGTTCATGATTTTGTGTATCCATGTGGGTCTTGGAAGGCATCCCCTGTGGATACAGGGGTTGTACTACTGTACTTGCACAAGGGTCAAGAAAACTATAGCTAAGTATGCTTCTCATGGCTCTTCCATCCCTTGGTGAAATCTCCAAACCAGGAAGTTACATCCAAGAGGAATCCCAACGTGCTCCTGAAAGCATGAGGGATAGGAAACTGCCCACAGAAGACTGGAAATCAAAGAAAGAGGAGTCACCTCCTTCTCAGCCAGAGAGAAGACCCCAATGGATGCCACTCAGTGGTTCAGCCATTTCTCAAGAGCAGATGGGGGGGGGGGGGAGAGCATGGCCATGTTTCATAAGCTTTCTCTCCTGGCTTCCTCAGAGTTTGTGAGAACTTCAGAGGTTGAGAACCACTGCTCTAGATCCTTGAGTGCTGTTCTATGGCATCAAGTATTATCAAAACAGGATTAGTGGTTGTTGTGGATACAGGGGTTGTACTACTGTACTTGCAGAAAGGTCAAGAAAACTATGGCCAAGCATGCTTCTCATGGCTCTTCCATCCCTTGGTGAAATCTCCAAACCAGGAAGTTACATCCAAGAGGAATCCCAACGTGCTCCTGAAGGCATGAGGGATAGGAAACTGCCCACAGTAGACCGGAAATCAAAGAAAGAGTCACCTCCTTCTCAGCCAGAGAGAGAGAAGACCCCAATGGATGCCACTCAGTAGTTCAGCCATTTCTCAAGAGCGGAGGAGGGGAAAGCAATGACGTTGACGTCTCAAGTACACTTTGGGGGAAGAGGGACAAAACACCAACCCAAAACTTAGGATGTGGAGGCGCCTCAGTTGGGTGTTGTGTTTTGCATCCACTCTAGAAGGGGGTCAGAAATGGAGATCCAACAAGAGTGGGGATTGGGGGGAGGGGGGAGAGATAGAGAGAGCTGTCCTTCTTGCCCTCCCAGTAGAGGACAGGGCTTGCTTTGGCACGCACACACGCCCCTTATTTTGTGCACACAACCGACTTTGGTGTGCAAAAAAAAAGAAAAGAAAGAAGAGTGTGAGAGCGAGGGCTGTCAGCGCCTCTTGGCTTGGCCACCACCTTCTCCTCGTGGCGAGACCAGAAGAGGAGGAGGAGAGGAAGAGGAGGAGAGGAAGGCTTGGGCTGGCTGGCTGTGGAGTTGGATTAGAAGAAGAAGAGTGGCAGAGGAAGCCAACGGGCAGCACTTTGCCGCCTCCTCCTCCTCCTCCAGTCCTATTTCCGTCCTCCTCCCTGAAAGAAAGAGAGAGAGAGAGAGAGAGCAAACTGGGGGAGGGCGCCCAGAGAGGGGCGTAATTTGGAAGCACACAAGCAGCACACGCACCTAGGCCGAGGGAGAGGGGGCAGGGAGGGGGAAGGGAGGGAGAGGGGCCCGAAAGCAGGCGCCAAGGCTGTTACCTCATAGAGTTCCTCGGAAGCCATGCCTCCCAAGGTGGAGGAGTTGGGCGCGGGTTTGGAGAGACTTTTGTCTCACTTGAGGGGAAGAGGGAGGGAGGGAGGTGGGGCCTCGGCTCCCACTCCTCGCTCGCCACGGCGCTCCTCCTCCTCCTCCTCTTCAGCCCGAGGTGCCGCTCTCCTCCTCTTCCTCGCCGCCGTCCTTCTCCCTCTGGTGCTGCCTCGGCTGCTGCTCCTTGTGGTGGTGGTGGTGCTCGTGCGCAGAACAAGCTGCGCAGTGGGGCTCCCTCAGCTCCCTCCCGCACTCACACTCGCACTCACTGGAAAGGGAGGAAGAGGCGACGATCCCTCTCCTCCTCCTCCTCGGTGCCTGGCTCCTTCCTTCCTTCCCTCCTTCCTTCTAGGCTGGCCAATCGAGCGCCGAGCGCGCGCCCCACGGCTCTAGCAGCACCGCCACCCTCCTCCTCTTCTTCTTCCTCCTCCTCCTCTTCCTCCTCCCCCTCCCCTCCTTTGATCGCCCATTGTCTCCTCAGCTGAGCGGCGGCGCGAGGGGGCGGCCGCGATTGGGCCAATGGCCGCCGGGAGGGGAAAAGGGGGAGGAGCTACCAAGGAAATAGGGAGGAGGGGCGCCAGGAGGAGGGGGGGCGAGGCCACCCTGCGCCTCGTGGGAGGAAGTGGTGGAGCCTGGCAGCCATGTTGGAAGGAAGGGCTGGGCCCCCATTGGCCAAGGAAAATGGGGCTTCCCAAACTTCTTCTCAAGGGGCAACTGGACCCACCTCCCAGGCATGCTTGGCCACCATTCCTTCAAGTCCCCATTGGATAACCTTCTTCTTCCATTGGTGGCCCAACTTGAAGTCCTTCACCCATTTCACCAGCATTTCCCATCTCCATGTCTCCTCTTCTTCTTCCATTCCACCATTAATTAACACTAATTTCTTATCTCCATGTCGCCTCTTCTTCCTCATCTTCTCCTTCCTGGTTTTCATCCATTTCATCAACATTTCCCATCTCCATGTCTCCTCTTCTTCCTCCATTCCACCATTAATTAATACTAATTTCTCATCTCCATGTCTCTTCCTCATCTTCTTCCTGGTCTTCATCCGTTTTACCATCATTTCTCATCTCCATTTCTCCCCTTCTTCATCATCCTCTCCTTCCTAGTCTCTATCCATTTCACCATCATTTCTCATCTCCATTTCTCCCCTTCTTCCCGATCCTTTCATTCCAGGTCGTCATATATTTCACCATTATTTAACACTAATTTTGCATCTCCATGTCTCTTCTTCTTCCTCATCCTCTCCCTCCTGGTCTCCATCAACTTCACCATTGTTAACACCTCTATGTATAATCTTCTTCCCCATCTTCTCCTGCCTGGTCTTCATCCATTTCACCATCATTTCTCATCTCCATTTCTCCTCTTCTTCCCCATCCTTTCCTTCCTTGTCTTCATTTTGCCATCATTTAACATTCATTTCTAATCTCCATGTTTCTTCTTCTTCCTCATCCTCTCCCTCCTGATCTCCATCCACTTCACCGTCATTAACACCTCTATGTATCCTCTTTCCCCCCATCTTCTCCAGCCTGGTCTTCATCCATTTCACCATCATTTCTCATCTCCATGTCTCCGCTTCTTCCTCATTTTCTCCTGCCTGGTCTTCATCCATTTTACCAACATTTCTAATCTCCATTTCTCCCCTTCTTCCTCATCCTCTCCTTCCTGGTTTTCATACATTTCACCATCATTTAACACTTATATCTCATCTCCATGTCTCCTCTTCTTCCTCATCCTCTCCTGCCTGGTCTTTGTCCATTTCACTATCATTTAACACTCATATCTCATCTCCATGTTTCCTCTTGCTCACCCTCTCTTTTTAAACTGCCTCTCAATTCCTCCGATCCAGCTTGGATCCATCCTAATCCATCTCTGGCAAATGGTGACCAGCATAAGTCCATCCTTTCCATCTGTTTATTTGCCTGTCCTTTTTTCCATTTCAAATTTCTCATTTGCCTAGCTTTCTCACATTTCATGGTTTTATCTCTCACAGGTTCTATTTCACTATCTTTATTCTCTCCATCAATGCATCAACAGTTGTTTACATGCTTCATTTACTATCCTTTCTTTTTGCCTTGACCATCCATATGGTCTCCCTGGCTACTTGGATTTTGCACATTCAGACTGTCATTCCCATCCATTTGCAATCTCCCAAAATTTTTATATTTCATCCTGTACTCCTTTTCCCTCCATTAAACTTCTACATATCCAATTATCTCCATCAGTTCATCAATCTAGCATTTCCATTATTAGTAACCTTAGAAGTATTCCCTACTCAACACCTTTTTTAGTTTTCCCGATTAGTCTTCTCATTCATCTTTACCTTTATTGCTTTCACCTATTTCTATTTTGCTGTGCTTCCTGATCTCTTCCACTGTCCATCCACTCCCATTTATTTTATGACCCATTCATCCTTAGTTTCCTTCTGTCCACATCTTTGCCTATTTGTTGTTGTTGTTCATTGTTCAGTCGTTTCCAACTCTTCATGACCTCATGGACCAGCTTACGCCAGAGCTCCCTGTCTGCCGTCACCACCCCCAGCTCCTTCAAGGTCAATCCAGTCACTTCAAGGATCCCATCCATCCATCTTGCCCTTGGTCGGCCCCTCTTCCTTTTTCCTTCAATTTTCCCCAGCATAATTATCTTCTCTAAGCTTTCCTGTCTCCTCATGATGTGGTCAAAATACTTCAGCTTTGTCTCTAATATCCTTCCCTCCAATGACCAGTCAGGCTTTATTTCCTGAAGTATGGACTGGTTGGATGTTCTTGCTGTCCAAGACACTCTCAGAACTTTTCTCCAGCACCACAGTTCAAAAGCATCTGTCTTCCTTCGCTCAGCCTTCCCTATGGTCCAGCTCTCACATCCGTAGGTGACTATGGGGAATACCATTGCTTTAACTATGCGGATCTTTGTTGCCAGTGTGATGTCTCTACTCTTCACTATTTTATCAAGATTGGTCATTGCTCTCTTCCCAAGAAGTAAGCATCTCCTGATTTCCTGGCTGAAGTCTGCGTCTGCAGTAATCTTTGCACCTAGAAATACAAAGTCTCTCACTGCCTCTACGTTTTCCCCCTGTATATCCCAGTTGTCAATCATTCTTGTTGCCATAATCTTGTTTTTTTTTTATGTCTAACTGCAACCCAGCTTTTGCGTTTTCTTCTTTCACCTTTGCCTATTTACCAATTTTGTTTTACTAAATTCCTGAGTTATTTTATCAATTGATCAAAATATCAATTGGCTATGTAGGGATTTATTGTCACAGAAACAAAATGCTAGCAGACAATTTGAGCAAGAAGAAATTCATACAACAGCAGGAAAATTCATGAATGGCTTCCTAGAAAATGTCTTCAGATCCAGCAGAATAAAATTAATTAAATATTTCCTCTAAAGCGTGGCTTCCTCTCAGGGCAAAATATAGTTACAGAATCAAGACCCAGTCAACTATGGACAGCAGCATCAAGTGATGTTTGACATACATTAAAAAATACTCAGACAATATAAAGTTAATGTATCATAATTTCTCATACACCTAAAATCAGGATTTTAAGAAGGAAGTCAATTTACAAAATAAATGAAAGTATGTTTACCTGGAAAGAAAATACAAAGAACTGATTTTCAGATTTGTAGAGTATGGGTACATCGAACAAGACAAAATGCATCTCAGGATTACTTCACTTCTTCTGCAGCTAGGATTTTAAAACAAAAGTACTGTAGGTTGTTTACATTTGCAGAATCCGTGGATGGGCAAAGCTTATTGACACCAATTTCTGCAGCACTGAATATGTTCTCAGAAGAGATTTAAATGGATGGATTACAAAGTAGGTTTTTTTTTTGTTTATGTCAGACTGAGAAGTAGTGAATTTGTTTCCTAACAGGAAAATCAAAGTTGTAATGTTGCTCATTATTGTATATTCAGTTTCATTTTACATGGACAGTCTTTGCTATGACTCTTGTAGAAGATGCAGGCATTTTATAAGTTTCATTGACTGTTTCTGGGTTATAAATTATGGTTAGAGAAAAAAAACCTTTGCCCAAAAAGGGATATATATATATATATTCTTTCTTGGTAAAACAGTTTGGTTGACCAATATTGTCTTTTGTACTAAATGTCTTGAGATCATGAGATACACTCAGATTGAGCATTCAACAATGATATCAAAAGCAGATGCTTTCTTTTCTTTTTTGAGGTTTCATGTGCTCATCCTCTCTTAAGTTACCTATGTTGCTTTAAACACTGAAGTATATCCTGGATGACTGTCAGAAATATTCAAACTATTCAACACATTAGCATTATGAAATATCAATTATTTTATCAAAACGATTGCTCTAATGGCATTCTCAATCAAGTTCCACTCTAATTAAGAAAAGTTCAGGAGAGGTTTCTCAACAAGCAACGTAAATTAGATCAACAATATATGTAGCATGAAAATATCTAGCATTATACAAGTAGAGTTCCATGTTGTGATCAAGTCCACTAGCAGTGTTCTCATAGCACAATCTTTCCATTTACTAAAACTAGAACATCTCTGTATAACCTATTGGAAATAAAAATTCCCGGTGACTTGCAAGACTACATAGCCAAAGTTACATAAAGTTTGTTATCATTTCTCTGCAGCGCATCACATTTTATATTTCCAGATTTTGATTGTATTCATTGTTGTGCACTATCCAATCAACTTGCTAGCTCTCTCCCAGTTTTCTGCCATCTCTTAATACTATACTTGTGAAAACTTTATGTTATCATCACTTTCTTCATCTAAAGTGTTACACTACAGAAGTACTACTTGTGATCTAGGCCCCTTTCACACAGTTGAATAAAATCCCACATTTTCTGCTTTGAATTGGAATATATAGCAGTGTGGACTCAGATAACTCAGTTCAAAGCAGATATTGTGGGATTTTCTGCCTTGATATTCTGGGCCCCCTTCCACACAGCTGAATAAAATCCCAAATTATCTGGTTTGAACTGAAATGTGACCGTGTGGACTCAGATAACCTAGTTCAAAGCAGATATTGTGAGATTTTTCTGCCTTGATATTCTGGATTATATGGCTGTGTGGAAGGGCCCTCTGTTATATGGCTGTGTGGAAGGCCCCCTAGTCAATTATTCTTTATTGTTGTTGTGTGTCCTTAAGTAATTTCCATCTTATGACCACCCTAAAGCACAGGGTTTTCTTAGCAAGATTTTTGAAAACCTTTACTTTCCTCTGAGGCTATGGGCCCTTCCACACAGCCATATAACCCAGAATATCAAGGCACAAAAT